CTTATTGGCGAATGTTAGACTTAATATATGATGTGAAACATTGAATAAAAATTGAAGTTTACATACAATTATATTTATCATATACTATTGTTTCATTTCATTTTTAAAAATATTCTAAAAAAATTGCAGTGGATTAGTCAGATTATCAATTAAAAATATATATTAACAAAATTTGAATATAGAAATTTGGGTAGGGCTATTTCACCCCACAAATCTCCATTTTCACTCCATTTAATTTTTATTATCAAACTGCTAAGCATATTCCTTTCTATACTCACTCCATTAGTAACTAAGCCCACCCCTTTGCTACATACACCCCCTTTAATAAGTAAACCATCTTTATATTTTGTCATAATTAAAATTTCATTCTTTAACTCATCTAATATACTTTCAATGTGATTTTTTTAGTGAGATACATGTTAGTATTACTTCTCCATTTAATTTTATGTTTGATTTTATGTTTGTTATATGAATTTTCATTTTTTTGATATGTTTTGATATCTCTATTAAGTTTGATAATTTTTTATTTATAATTTATATGAGCGTATATATATGTATACTTTCATTCTATTTATTTTTTTTATTTTGTTAAGATTTTGCATCTATATTTGTTATATTTTTTCTTGTTCGATTTTGTGTCTTTGCTTGATGGTTGATTTTTTTTTTCATATTCGATTTTGTATCTTGTATTTTTGCTTATTTATTTAATCTTTGCATGATTTTTTTTTCCTTCTTATTTCAGGGTGCTTATTTCTTTATGTTTTTTTTTCTTATTTCGTTCTTTTTTTTTTGTTTCAATTTGTTTATTTCTTCCTTTTTTTTCTTATTTTGTTCTTTTTTTTCTTGTTTCAACATGTTTTTTTTTGTATTTATTTCTTTTTTTTTTATTTTTTTTTCTTGTTTCAGTCTTGTTTGACTTTTTTTTTGTTTGTAAATGTATTTATGCATTCAAATTAATTGTCTTCTTTTATTATTTTATTTCTTATAATAATTTTTTTTATTAAAGAGGTATACATAGAATAAGTGAGTTTAACTATTAATGAGATATATGTAACATGAGATAAGCTTAATTACTAATAGAATGTGTATAGAAATGGTAGATTTAATAGTTTGATAACGAATAATTATATGGGGTGGGAATAACCCCACCATAGAAACTTAGTTATCAATTTTGCATCACAAAAAAGTTAGAACAACAATTTTGAATGAAATTTTAATCATATATCTTATATATTTATTTTTTAATTTAAAATAATCTTATTTATAATTTTCGCTTAAGACCTCAATTTTCATTGCATCGGCTCTTTGGGATCTCCAACCCTTACTCAAATTTAGACTCAAATTTAAATTTAGGTAAAAAAGTTTAAAAAATCTACTCCAACCCTTGACTTAAACTTATATCAAATTAAGAGAAATTCATTTTTTTACTCAGGGAGATTCAAATCTTTAATAGTGAGATTTCACCATCTTTTAAAATTCTAATTGTCATCCTTATTTCCTTTTAAATTTGGGTTCGCTATCATTTAAATTTGAGTCTCTCTTTTTTAAATTTAAGTTTGTCTATTAGAGTCCTTTATATCAAATCAAGATTTTTATTCAAATGTTAATTTAAATTTGGATAAAAATTTGAGTTATAGTTAGAAATGGTATCAAATAGGTTTAACAATAAATGTAGAACGTATTATCCGAATATGTATTACATACATTTAATAAGTTAAATTATCTTTTATAATTTTTTTTTTTTTTTGCGTTTAAAAATTTAACCAACACAGTCACTAGACAAATCCCCTACACCTGCCCCAGCTCCAGCCCTAGTCCCCTCCTTCTACTTCAGCCCACAGCGCCAGCGCCTCCCTCTGTCTTCCTCGGGTCTGAGATATTTCTCTCCCTCCAGCAAGCAGCGACCAACGACGGCAAGATAATCGACCAGCCGACGACTTCCATCACCAACCAGAGACCAACGACGCCTTCGCTCTTCTTGATGTATATTCTCTCTCTCTCTCTCCGCTCAGCAAACACACACAGACTCACACACACTCTACCTTCGACCAAATCAAAACTATTCAGCTCAAAATGATCGTTAGTGGCCTGCACCTAGTGACTGATAACTGTTTGAAGAAATGTCCAAGAAGAGTAAAATGAAAGTGAAAGATAGAACCTACTCTATTAACTCTCTCTCCTTTTTTCTCTTTTGCCACCATTTTTGAATTTTAGAAAAAAAGGCTGGGATTGGGTTGGGACATTGTTCCTCATTGTTTAAAGATATTAACCTGTTATTTTCATTTTTGCTATTTTGTTATTACCTTTCCTCATGCTCTAAAGGCATCAATCTGTTCTTTTCATTTTGCCGTTTTGTTATTATCTGCCCTCATACTCTAAAGGCATAAATCTGTCCTCATGCTCTGATGCTCTGATGGTAAATTTTTCGCCATGGGTATTGACAATAGGTGCTAGCACCATTGACAGAAAGCTTTGTGCAAAGTGAAATTGAGCAAAAGCAAAGTTTTTTATTTAAGAAAAGCTTTTCATCCCCTTGGGAATTTGAGTCTGCAGATAAATGGTCATAGCCTTAACAAGTCTCTATAAGACCTTTAGTTGGCATTTATAAATTTTAAATGGATATTATCTGTCCTCATGCTCTAATAGTAAATTTTTTGCCATGTTCATTTACCACAGGTGCTAGCACCATTGACAGAAAGCTTTGAGCAAAGTGAAATTGAGCAATGACAAAGTTTTTATGAGTTAACCTATCCATGTTTTATATCAAAACTCGCATGTACTTTACTTCTAAAACCCTAGTTTTGGTTATGATCAATTTATGTGTTTATTGAAGATCTCTTGCATGTTTTCTTGAATTATTCCCTTTGAAAGGTTCTGGAACCATGATTCTTGATGTAAGAAAAGCTTTTCATCCCCTAGGGGATTTGGATCAGCAGATAAATGGTCATAAATAACCTTAACAAGTCTCTATAAGACCTTTGGTTGGCATTTATGAATTTTAAAAGGAAAATGGTCTAAGTGACTGATTTTTTTGTTCAAGTGACTTTTTTTTGGCTGATTGATTTGCACTATTTTAAGTAATTAGGAAATATAGCACTTTGGAAATTGAAAATGAGTCATCTTAGGTTTTAAAACAATGCTCTAAGATTTGCACAAAAGCTCATGGCTGTTGACACATTCAATCTGAAGAATCATTTTGAAGCTTTTACTTGATTCTGTTTTTTTTTTTTTTTTGCTTGGTTTTACTTGATGTTGTTGGTTGAAGCAAATGGGCCAAGAAAAAGTAAAAAATTTAGTAAAGTGGTAATAGGGCAGATAAAAGTGTGCTCTGGATGAGGGGGTACTGGGTATGAATTACCAGTATGATTATTCTTCAGTGTTTGTGTTTTATAGAAAGTGTTCACAAAGTTTGAGATGATGATCTAATAGCATTATAATGATAAAATGTAAATTTCCAGGTCCTTTAGTGATCAAGATTTTGTATGCAGTACACCTAGTACAAACATCCTCCAGTACAGTTAGTTTCACAATATGTTAGGGTTTGCCGCTGCATCCACCACCGTCGCTGTCGTTGCCGCTAACACTGTGTACCGTGTGCATTCTAGCGTTTCATGCACTGCTCTCCATCTCCACAAAGCTAGCTGGTGCTTCCAACTGGTAAGAAGATAAATAATTACTCCCAAAGTGATATTTTGATTTTTGTTCATATATTATGTATATTATTTACTGTCAGTCTTGAATTTTTCTTTAGTTTCAGTCATCGACGATGTCGTTCAGGTTGGAGAGTATCAAAGCCATGGCAGAGGTGTCTGAAACCCTTGTCACACCCAAGTCTGACTCGAAGCCCTCTGCTTCTGGTACTTTAAAATTTAACCCTCTCTCTCTCTCTTTTTATATATGTCGACGCTTAGACTTGATTTTGTTCTTAATACCGTTTCAATGACTCCAATCCACTAAAGTTGAAATATGGGGGAACAAATATGTTTCTGTATATGCCAAAGTGAATTAATTATCACAAGAATTGATTATCACAAACTATAAAATTAAAGATCAATAAATATACCAAAAAAAAAAAGTTGATTTTTTTAGATGAGATAATCAGAATCTTATGTCTTAAACTTAAGAGAGACATGGGTTGTTGTCAACTGTGGGTATTGTTATTCCTGTAAATGGTTTTCTAGAAAAATGGGTATGAAGTTTTTAAAAGGTAGATTTTGTAAGTTAATCTAGAATATTAAAATTTGTCAGAAAGAGGTTTGGAATCCCTTTATATCTGATAAGGTAATGAACGACATTTTCTTTAGGACTGGCAATTCCTTAAACATGGCCCACTGCCACTGAGGGAGTCTTGCTGCCTCACTCCCTTTGATGCTTGCCAATGACACGGTCAGACACAAACACCTGATGTGTTATTGGTAGCCTCTAAATTGGCGAATCCAATCACTGTTTGCCATGTTTGAAGAATGACAAGTTTGACTAGTAGGCGGGCGGTGGGCTTATCTAGTGTGACAACATTGTCTCCCTTCTAGGCGGGTAGTTGTGTGACAACACTATAGAGAAAGTGATAACATGCTATGGTGTCAAGATTCTGATAAGAAGACGCGCCGTATTTAGGGCCTAGAATTCATGCATCGAAATCAGAATTGGAATTGGAGCAGAATATTATAAAATCTAAACCTATGTGAATTGCAATTTCAGTTCCAAGGCATGGATTTTGTTCTCCAAAATGCATTTTCGGGGTTTATTCGGGGTCTCGAGTGGATTCAAATTAAAAAACATCATTACATTGTGTGTTCCTGATGAGAGCTGTTAAGAGGAAGTAGACTATTAATAGGCGTAACGTTTTAACATTTGTAGGAAATGGTTGCTTTCAGCCTTTAAGCCCCGTTCTTAGGTGGAGAATCATCAAGTTACCATTGAACTGTGAAAGAACACCTACACATAGAATTGGGTAAATCAGAATTCATAAATTCTGCAGAATGGCAAAGAAAGATTGACAAGATATTTATGTGTTCAAAAGTGTTGAAGATTTTTGGAAAATTCGAAACTGTTGTAGACAATAGAGATTTTTTTCGTTCTTTCTTGTTTTTTAAAGAAAAATTGTTGTTTGTTGCAAAATTAAGTAGAATCATCGCACTATGAAATAGTTTAAATTTGTTAAAATAAGCTAATAAAGTGAAACCAATATCGGTGTCGAATAAAGGTTGTTTTCATTGTGGAGGGTATTAGTATTACCACATTTAGCTTCCTCCTTAGACAACTCGATTGGATGTGATTGACATGGCTTCCACTTGTGTTTGGACTGATGAGGATGAGGGGAGGCCTAATGGTGGGTTGGTATCATTTGAAAAGGACACATATCCCAATTGTTTCCGAGTCTTACTTATATACACTTATTTGTATGGAGGATCTGGATGCATTGATCTTAAAGCCCTTTCCTTCTCTCATTGACAAAACTCTTCTTTAAGACAAACTCTGATGATTTGAGGGTCATTATTACAACCAATGAGTTAAGAAGTTTCATTTATTGATAAAATAAATTACCCTAGCTCTATTGTTCATGGCACTAATATTGACCTTGTGGGACTACAACTAAACTTACCAAAAATGAAAGAAGATCTGATCAGTCCTTTGAGCAGTCAAATGAGATTAATTGAGTTGGGAATATTAATGGGAGTTGATTGAAATATGCAGTGCAATATTGAGAATATAGGGGTCTACAATTAATATGAGGACTCATAGCTATCTACACTCCGTTTGTGGTCAAAGGAAGTGAATAAAAGACAGAATTGCATATTTTTGTTTTTTGGTGGTATAGGTAAGGAGAAGTAGCACATTGATGGATAAGGCCAGAATTCACCATTTCTGTAGTCTGTCCTACAATTATTATCAATTTCTCCTCACAAAATCTGGCTCCATTGAAATAACTGGTCCTGGCCATCTCAGGGCCAAGGGGAAGCCATCTGAACCAATAGGGTTTGGGCTTAAAGTCACATAGGATTAGTGTTTCTCTGAAATAATCAAATGGGTTTCCCTTATTTCTTTTGTCTTTTCCTCATATCTTTATCTTGTTTTTATTTTTCAGAGTTGATACATGACAAATAAATAATGGCCAGTGTCAGAAAGCACAAGTTCCATAAGCTGTGCTACAGTTAATGTTTTTTTCCTCGTGCTTAAAATCTATTAAAATTCATTTGGCTGGCTTTTGCACATCCCTAAGGAACCATCTTGCCTGGTTTAAAAATTGCTGAATCAATAAAAGAGTGCTGCAACTGTAATAACATTGTTTTCTTACCCTTTTTTTTTCTTAGATTTTTTCCTCATGCATTTTACATGACCTATATGATCTCTGCTTCGTTTCAGGTAGCAAGCAAGCGCTGATTTCACTGTCAGACAAGATGGATCTGTCTTTGCTGGGCAACGGACTTCAAGAATTAGGGTGAAGTGCAAAACATTTTACCTCCTTTATACTCTCCTGTACTATGATTAACCCGTAGCAATCACTTATAATCGGTTCTGACAATCATATCTGCCTTTTTCGACTTTTCAATGATGATATTGTCTTGTTTTTGGGAATATTGTACTTTGGAAGTTAAGAGGGTAGTCTAGATGCAGTAACCATAGTAGTTAATTACAATGATGTAAATATTTCTGGATCCCCATTAAGAATGGCTACAACTTTGAGGCCAACCTTGTTTAATTACATATAGTCAAGCAGTTGGCGTCAAATTTATGTTTAGATATTGTATTTTATGTAACAGAATGTGGAAATGAATGACACATTGAAATGGTGTTAGAGACATTGAATCTAATATCCCTTTTTCTTTTCATTCATGTGGATGATTGAATCATAGGCAGAACTGCATTTTAATAATGTAAAACAATGGACGAGGACATTTTAGACAATTGACAAGCGTTAGTTGAAAACTTCATTGAGAATTGTAGTATGTAGCGCGTTGGGATTTGCAAATTCTAAGCATCCATTTGGATTAATATTTTCTCTAGAGGAGTTAGTTTTAGTGGAACACCATTCCATGCTAATATTGCCTTTTGTTTTTCTTAGGTAAGTATAAAAAGGGTCATGAGGTCCTTTGACAGGTCGAGGTGGACTGGTAGAGAGTCTAGAGACTTAACCATTAACAGTATTTGTACAAAGAGAATAAAATATCTTTTTTACAGGCTTGGTTTTGTTATATAATGCCAATTCTGTCTGTCCAATCATTTTCCAGTTTGCTAATGCTAAAAAAGATTGCATTTAAAAATCATGTACTTCTCACAACGACTGGCCATTATTCTATTTTAATGTTTTCTTTTCTGACCTGTAGATTTAACATTGTTTCCACTGGAGGAACAGCATATGCTTTAGAACAAGCTGGGGTGTTTGTAACCAAAGTTGAAGAGCTAACTCGTTTTCCAGAAATGGTATGTTGGTTCTTATTAGGTTTCACAATTCATTTGCATTGGCAATCTATCATTCTTTCACATCTTTGTTTTTTATTTTGCCTGCTCCAGATATTGTTATTGTAACTATTGTTCTTGCAAAATCTTGTGCTCCAATGAGTGTTCTTGAGTTCTTTTGGTCACGAGTGTCCTTCAGTTCAGTTGTGGAAATTGTTTAGAATTTCTTTGGTGCCTGTTGTATTTAGAAAGTTTTCTTTTAACTATGCTCCTTGAATTTTCCACAACATACCTAGTAAATGGGAGATTAATGGTCTTTGTTGATTTTAGAATGCCTTGTGCTCCTCCACTAGAAAGAGCATATCGCCTCCTCAAAAATTTTTGTGGAAACTAGGATTGAAATTTTTCCCAGGTTGTACTGGTTGATACGCGTGTGACTATTTTGCATAAACATGGGGATAAGACAAAGACCTGGATTTGACATGACACTGACACTTATTGAGAGAAACATGCACTTTTGCGAATATTCTGGAATATTTGAAGATGACACTTTTATACCAAAAACTTTGTAAATGATATAGCCAAGGGGGAAAATGCCATTAGATGCACAGTAACTTACAAAGCACGGATACGGACACGGGTGTTGTATCTATCCGATACGATATGGACACGGGGATATGATAAAGTTCTAAAATATAGGATACGGGTACGGCAAAGATATAGTTAATTAAACTAATATTATATACTTTTATATAAATAAAAATATTAATAATACGACCTAATAAATATTGAGCAATTGGTTAATATCTTATAATTGGACAATGAGCTAATATTAAATTAGGCAATTGGTTAACATGTTATAATTGAAGGGCTAATACTAAATTGGATAGTGGGTTAATGTATTTGACAGCTAATAAATAGATTATACCAAAAAAAAAAAGAATAATATTTAAAAAAATTAAAATTTAATATGTTCAAATAGAGAGAGAACATGAAAAATAGCGAGAGTATGAGCGTGAAAAAATATAAAAGAGTAAAGTTAAACAGGCTACGACAAGTCGTTCTCCACAATCATGGAGAGCGAGAGATTGCAGAGAGCGAGAGAAAGAGAAATCGTAAGGGGAGAGAGGGTTTAGACCCTTTGTCTAGTGAAGGAGGAAAAAAGATGAGGAAGAATTTGAGACGATGTACCTGGCCAGATCTATGGCTTTCAAATTTGTGGTCGGATCTATGGCTTGCAAAGATGTATCTTGGCCTATTCTTCTCTCTTCTCTGTTCCATCAACGATCTTTCCTCTTTTTTTTCTCAATCCCTTATTTCCCGTATACCCCACGTATTCGAGTCGTATTTGACTTAAAAAAAATCCTTGTTCATTGGCCAGGACACGTGTCCAGCCGTGTCCCACATGTATTCGTGTCGGACGTGTGTCCGACATTGCCATGTCAATCTCTGGTGTAGTGTCTGTGTTTCCTAGACAATAACAAATAAGAACAAATTCATAAACATAAATATGTACACATGCATGAATATTATTTAGTCTCCTTGACTTTCTTTGATCTTTGTTGATTAGAAGTCAAAAAAACATGTCCACCTTTTAGTAATTTTTCATGTAAATGCTATGTTATACTTATTAAAATTTTAGGTGGTTCGACTTTCAATTACAAGTGTCATATCTGATGCAGGGAATGAGCGCGAACATGAAACTAGATAATATAATATCTTTGAGCCTGTTGATTATCCTTGATTATTCTTGGCAAAAAACTTTTCGAAAGCTTTGTTGATTCGTGGGATACCAAAGCAATTGGTAACTGTCCGGGAGTCATGTTTTACCTTGAATGCTATTTATAAAAGAGAAGACCAAATGCTTGCCTTTCTCCAGTGTTATGTAGAGGGGCAGCACTGGGAGAATGGATTTGTTAGAGTATTTTAGTATTAGGGATAATTTAGTCCTTTTATCCTTTATTTGTTTTGCCCTACTATAAAGGGTTTCTATTATGCATCTTTTAAGATGTTGTAATAAACTTATGGAGCCGCAATAATATTTTCTTTCGTTTCTTTTCATTGTTTCTTTTGTTATTGATGTTTCATGGTATCAGAGCTATTCCGATTCCTAAATACAATTAGAAACACAATAGTGGTTATCTGAAGCCAAATCTGGCTCATACAAGGGCTAACGTCACTAATGCATGTAATGACGTCAGCAGCTAGAGGGGATCAAGACCACCAAGCTGTTCGACTATGAATGGGCTTAAACAAACAAGGTTTGGTTTTTATTTTGTGGTCTTTTGGTATGATTTTTGATTTTTTGAATATTTTTCAGATTTTAATCGAAATCTTCGATATGAGGATTTTGCAAAGTTTTCTTGACACAATAGCTTCGAATCATTATTGAGAGGTTGGACCGAGGGTTTCTTGGAGTTGATTGAAGGATTCAAAGTAGTTGGAAAAGATTGGAGTGGATTTTCATTCATCCTTATTTCAGCTACATCAGGTTAGCGACAAGGAGTTTTGATTTTTGCACAAATTGATCTGTATGTGTTCTGTTCTCTGGTCTTGTGATTCTTGTGGGTGATGGGCTGTTAAATTACAGAGTTTTCTGGTTTAATTCCTTGTGATTTCTGCTAGTTGATTTTGCATTGTACTCAAGGATCAAAATGTCGTGTCGACACGTCCGAAACGTTTCGGAATTTCAACACTCCGAAACGAAACAGTAGTTGAATCACAAAATTCCAGTGTTTCGGTTGAAACGGCACTGTTTCGGACCGTTTCGGTTGAAACGGCACTGTTTCGGACCGTTTCGGTCGAAACACTACTGTTTCGACAAAACAATGATATATTCGGTTCACTATGAATAATTACATTTAATACCCACGGTAATTACATTTAATACCCACTATAATTATATTTAAAACCCCATTATAATTACATTTAATTCCCACTGGTCTTCTGTCTTTTATAATTTTTTTGTTATAAGAATAAATAATTACACTTAATACCTTACTGTAATTATATTTAATACCCCACTGCTGTGCAAGTCTTTTGCTTTTTTTTTTTTTGGTTATAAGTATTAACAATTACATTTAATACCCATTGTAATTACATTTAATACCCACTGCAATTACATTTAATTTTTAAGTATACATAAGTACCATTAATTTAATTTGATACCCTTCATTATTAGTATTATAATAAAATAGTATTATTAATTGGATAATATTACCGTAATAATATGAGTTGGAGTAACTATTGTCATTATATTTATGTCACATATGGAGTTTCTCTAAGTAGTTACCCAGAGCCTACACCGATGTATGAGCCTGCTCGACACTCTACAGGGGGATGGATGTAGCCATGTAAGTATGTACTCATTAGCATTTCATATGTATTATAAGACCTTAATATTATGTAAAAATGTGTTTATTTCATAAAAATTAAGTGTTTGAAACTAATTTAAGTGACTTTCGCCTCATGTCAAGTCTTTTTTTCCCTCAAATTTAAATTTATTCTTGTATAAATAGATGTTAACCCAATAAATATGTTGAATTAATCAATTATTTAGCATATCTTTATAAATTAATGGATTGTATTTGTGTTTCTATGCGTTTCCATATTTTTTCTGCGTTTCCATTGCGTTTCCGAAACGTTTCCGAAACGTTTTCATTTTTGAGCTGACCGAAACGGTATTTCGAAACGAAATTTCGATCCTTGACTGTACTCTTCTTCACGTTGCTCCTCTTTGTTAACTTGTTTGCCGACTGTTTGCTGCTGCACCTTGAAGAAGAATTCAACCGTTCTTCTGGGCTGGATTTGTGATTGTTTGGCTGGGTTGTCCTGCCCTTCTCCTGGTTTAAACTTGTGACGTTTGGGCTGGGTTGACCTGCTGTTCTTCTCGGCTGGGCCTTCGATCTTCTGGGCTTTTGAAAGTTGTGGAATTTGGGTTGTCTTGTTGCTGGAATGCTGGTTTTGCTGCTATCTTGTCCTCTGTAGTCTGTATTGCTGCTATACTCTGATTTATCAACTGTTTTCATTAAAACCCTAATTTGTTGGTTCTTTGCTTTGGGCTTTTGAATTGCTTGTGGGTTGGGTTTTTTGATTGAATTGTTTGCTCGTTTGACTTTTGGGCTGTTTGTTTGGCACTTATTCTACTGTGGGCTTTAATCCTTTTGGACTTTGCTTGGTTTATTGGGGTGGGCTTCATTTTGCCACTATTGACTATTTCAAATTGGGTCGTATGCACAGTGACTTGGATAATGGGTTAATTAAATGTGGACATTTTTGGTTCAAGTGCTTTGATTTCTTTATTCGTCTTTTTTTTTTTGTTTAAATGATGGTAAGTTAGAACTCCGACTCGTCCTAGGACATCAATGTGAAATTAACTATGATTAATGACCACTTGGAGAAGCTTATCTCATGACAGAAGCCTAATGCTCTCTCAATCTCTCCCTTCATAAGTTCATTCATTTTGGGTCTTTCAAGTATATCTCGGATTGCCTGGGTCTTTGACTCAAGTGGTATACCTTACATGACCAGTGATTCCTCTTTATTTGCATCTACATTCTCTCTTCCATGTCTCTGTGCTTGCAACCAATGGTACTGGTGTTGGATTTATCCTCAATTAACACTTTCAATGTTTGTTATATTCCACAGTTGACCTTAAATTTGATTTCAGTTAGTCAGTTGTTTGATTCTAAATTTTTAGTTCACTTTTCTTCTTCTGGTCGTGTTGTGTAGGATCCACGTTCCAAAAAGGTAATTGTAAGGAAGGGTTGTATGTGTTGGGATGAGTTGCATATTCCATATATTGGTGCTTCTACTATTGATTTGTATTCTTTCTGTTTGAGTCAACAGTCCTCTAATTTTTATTCGTGGATTCTCCTCTTAGTTATGTTTTCCATTCTCGTTTAAAATTTTTAGCTTGTGCTAGTAATTTGGGTAGCTTAGAGTGTCATGACATTTTTAATTGTAGTGGATGCAAGTTAGCCAAGTTTACTGCATTACCCTTTCATAAAAGTCTTACAAGTCTCTTGCACCTTTTGATCTTGTTCATTTAGATGTATGTGGTCCTGCTTCTATCTCCATAAAAGGAGGGTCTAGATATTATGTTTTTATTCATTGATGACTATATCCAGTACTGTTGGGTATGCCTTCTATATTCACTGCTTTTATAGCTATGATTCGTACTCAATATTCTTCTATTAGTAAATGCTTTCGATGTGATCAA